ACTTTCGTCACTGAAAAAACGAAAACAATCTCCAAGTGTAGTAGACTAAATAAGGATACTGGTTATTCCTCCACCTCCAACACGGCCTGTCATGTGGAGGAAGAACTAGAGGAGAGGCCCTTAGGTGTTAAGGCGTCCAAGGTGAAAGAGAAGAAGAGAGGTAAGGGGGAGAGTGAAGAAACAGAGGAGAGTTCTTTGAAGGTGCTTCAGGAGATGTGGCTAATAAAGGAGAAGGACAACATTGTCAGGGAAAGACTATCGAAGAAGAAAATCCTTGAGGGTCTCATTCTCAAGTCCGAACCACTTTCACAGGGAGAACTCACACTGAAGAACAAGTTAGTGGCTGAGATGTGCGATGGTAATTTCATTGTTAGTTCTTGTTCATTCTGGTTCAGTGTTAGTTCATTATTAGTTAGCTTTTGTTCATTTTTAGTTAGCTTCTGTTGTTGTTCATTCTGGTTCATTGTTAGTTCATTTTTAGTTAGCTTTTGTTCATTGTCAAGTTCATTTTTAGTTAGCTTCTGTTCTTGTTCATTCTGGTGCATTGTAAATTCATTCAAGTAATTGTACATTCTAGTTCATTGTTAATTCATTTTGGTTCASTAGTTGATTCTGGTTTTTTGGTAATGTGCAGGAGAAGATCTGACAGAGGAGGAGGTGTGATGTACTACTTGTCCGTTAGTTTTTGAAGATAAGGGGAGATGTACTACTTTGGTCTTTTGTTCTTGTCTGTTTGCGTCACAAGAATATTACTAGTAGATTAGTAACAAGGTTCTTGTCTGTTTGCGTCACAAGATTGTTGTCTGTTTGCTTCACAAGTAGATTAGTAGTTGTGTCTTTATGTGCAAATTGTTTTGTACTTGTACTTTACTCGGGTTTATTTGCAACTTGTTGTGGTTGTAAAGTTTCGGCTATATGTAGTACCAAACTCTCCTTTGTATCAAAAACTCTTTATAAATCTGTTTGCTTCATTATTTTGCTATCCACGAATCTCATTCTTCATTACCAAACTCTCCTTTCTATCACAAACTCTTTTGCTTCATTTGCTTCTATCACGAATCTGTTGCTTCATTACCAAACTCTTTTTCTATCATAAACTCTTTTACTTCATTTGCTTCTATCACGAATCTGTTGCTTCATTACCAAACTCTTTTTCAAACATGTTTTCACATCCTCATACTTCAACTTT